GCTTGTTTGCTGGAAGTCCAGAGTTTATTAATAGACATATTACAAGATCACAGAAGCATGGTTGCTAGTGGCGAGGAAGAAGCACTTGGCAAGGGACTTTTTTTGTAAACTAGGAAACTATTAAGGTTGCCAGCTCCTGGTTGGGAAATACCTGGAAATTTGGGGGGGGGGTGGAGCCTGTGGAGGGCGGGGTTTGGAGAGGGGAGGGACCGGGGTCGGGGACGATGCCGTAGAGCCCGCCCCCCAAAGCAGCCATTTCCTCCCGGGGAACCCATCACGGTCATCTGGAGATCAATTGTAATAGTGGGGGATCTCCAGGTGCCGCCTGGAGGTTGGCAATCCCAGAAACTGTGCTTCCTACCCCTTTTTGTATTACCCAAGTGTAGGCAGGGCAGTAGAAAAATGTCAGTCAGTCGTCTCTCTGGCTGGAGACAAGTAAGGTCAAACACGCCCTGATAATTCGCTCCATGCGGCTTCAGGGGATTAAGCCCTGCCAGATGTGCTCTCAGCGGCTCCAAGCCTAAAATGTCCACCGTTCAAAGTAGTCTGAGGGGAGACAACCGTGGGGCTTTTTATCTCTAAGGCTTTCAGGGCAAAGACAGAAGCCGCGTCACACCCTTAGGTTGTTCCTAGATCCCACTTTGCCGAGAACAGGACGGGGCAGAATATTTGTGTGTGCGCGTGCGCACGCGCCTGTGACCTGCCATCAGGTCACAGCAGATTTATGCGGCCCCAGCAAGGGGCTTTCCAAGAGAGCGAGAAGCAGAGGCGGTCTGCCCTTCCTCTGCAGAGCCTTCCTGGGTGGTCTCCCATCCAAGTACCGACCCTGCTCAGCTTCCAACTTCTGGCCACCCCAGCAAGGGGCTTTCCAGGCAAGTGAGAAGCACAGGTGGCTTCCCCTTGCCTTCCTCTGCAGAGCCTTCCTTGGTGGTCTCCCATCCAAGTACCGACCCTGCTTAGCTTTTAATTTATGGCAACACCAGCAAGGGGCTTTTTGGGGCAAGGGAGAAGCAGAGGCGGTCTGCCATTGTCTTCCTCTGCAGAGCCTTCCTGGGTGGTCTCCCTTCCAAGTGCCAACCCAGCTTGGTGGCATGGAAAGTGTTCTCAAGTCACAATGGACTTACGGCGACCCCTGGTGGGGTTTTCAAAGCAAGAGATGTTCAGAGGCGGTTTGCCCTTGCCTGCCTCCCCATCACGACCCTGGACTTCCTTGGAGGTCTCCCATCCAAATACTGGCCAGGGCCGACCCTGCTTAGCTTCTGAGATCTGACAAGATCGGGCCAGCCTGGGCTATTTCTTAGATACCTGACCTGGATGGCCCAGACTCGCCCAATCTTATCAGATCTCAGAAGCTGAGCAGGGTCGACCCTGGCTAGTATCGGGATGGGAGACCACCAAGGAAGTCCAGGTCTCGCTGCAGAGAAGAAGAGGAAGAGGAGATTGGGTTTATACCCCACCCTTCACTACCCAAAGGAGTCTCAGAGCGGCTCACAAACTCCTTTCCCTTCCCCTCCCCTCCCCACCACAGACACCCTGTGAGGTAAAAGAAGAAGAAGAGATTGGATTTATACCCCACCCTTCACTACCCAAAGGAGTCTCGGAGCGGCTGACAAACTCCTTTCCCTTCCCCTCCCCACCACAGACCCCCTGGGAGGTTTTTAATAGGACCTGCATTAGGACCTGTATTAAATGCAGGTTCTTCTAGGAGTACCTTTGGAACCAAATAGGTTAGTCCATGAAACCCGGTCTTCACTATGTGTTTCTGTGCAACTGAAAACTATTCAGAGCTAACTTAAAAATAAATTGTATGCTGCCTTATGGGGGGGGGGGGAAACAAAGCTCTCAGCTAGGGGTGCCATCTCCGGGTTAGGAAATACCTGGAGATTTAGGGGGTGGAGCCTCAGGAGGGCGGGGTTTGTGGAGGGGAGGGACTTCCTTTGGGTCTAATGCCATAGAGTCCACCTTACGGACCAGCCATTTCTTCCAGGGGAACTGGCCTGTGTCACCTGGAGAGCAACGGTAACCAGTGTTCCCTCTAAGCTGGGTTAGTGTGAGCCAGCTCACAGTTTTTTAGCCTCCGGCTCACACATTTTTGTCAGATCAGGCAGGATGGGGCTCCAGAGCAAACTAATTGACGCAGCCGCCAAATCGCTTGCTCACAACTTTAATGCCCGTAGCTCACAAAGTAGAATTTTTGCTCCCAAGACTCCACAGCTTAGAGGGAGCGTTGAGTCCTCCAGCGGCCACCTACTCTCGGCCATTAGTAACGACGCAAAAAAACCAAGGTCATCCAGTGAAACCTCACTGGCAGCAAAAGAAAACAACAGGAAATACTTCTTAGCGCAACACACAATTTACCTATGGAATAACATCCCATTTGCTTATGGAACCGGTTGCTACAAGATGTCACAATGGTCTCCCGCATAACCGTCTCATTTGAAAGAATTATACGAGTCGCTGGGAGAGGAAGTCTATCCGGATCAATTTGCTGGAATGGCCAAAGGTAGAACTTCCATGTTCAGAGGCAATCTACCCCAACTGCCAAATACCGACGTAAAGGTCCCCCTGCAGTACTTGGGTACCAACAGTTAGAGAGACAGAGGCTGATGGCACCATCCTAAGAGGATTTACCCCCTCTGGAGCCCACTGGCTTCGATCGGCCTACCCTACTTTGCAGGGCTGTTGTGGGCATAAAAACGGAGGCAAGAAGAACAGTGTGAGCCACTTTTGAGTATTAGATGTTGTAGACTTTCCGGGCTGTATGGCCGTGGTCTTGGCATTGTAGGACCTGATGTTTTGCCAGCAGCTGTGACTGGCATCCTCAGAGGTATAACACGGAAAGATGGAGTACTCTCTGTGTCGAGGTGAGAAGAAAAATGGTAGGCAGGTAATTTATATCTACTCAGGAAGGTGGGGGTAGGGCTGAGTCGTTATCTTGTAGGAGTCCCCCAGGCTGTAAACATGCTAACGGAGCTTTCCAGAGGAGGTTCTTTTGTATATGGACTAGGAAAAAGGCTCGTTGTGGAAATAAATACAACGGCCTCTAGAAAGAAGCTCTGGGCGGGTGCCCCAGCCTTGGACACTCAGTGTCAACTTGCTGTGGCTACCTCAGCAGGGTATAATGACACTGAGTCCACCATTTTCTCCAGAGGAACTGATCTCTGCTACCTAAAGAACAGTTGTAATTTTGAGTGATCTCCAGCCCTCACCTAGAGATTGGCAACAATGGTTCCCCAGAAGGGAATAGTTGGTTTGGAGGGTGGAATCTATGGCTTTGTACCTGTCTGAGGTCCCACGCCTCCTGAAACCTCACCCTCTCCAGGCTCCATCCCTCACATCTCCAGCAATTTCCCACCTGGAGTTGGCAACCCTATCTCCTTCCCAGCCAATCATCAACCTACCTTTATTTCCCCCTCACTCTTCAGCTTTCCAACCCCCCCACACACCTGCAGCCTCTCCCGTGCTCTGAAGCCCTGACTGCTACGTCACATTGGCTGTCATACAGGGGCCACCTCAGCAGCATATATAAGGATACAGAGCCCACCATTTTCTCCAGGGGAACTGATCTCTGCCATCTGGAAAGCAGTTGGAATTCTGAGGGATCTCCAGCCCTCACCTGGAGATTGGACACATTTTACCTCAGAACAGCAAAACTGTTTAGAATGTTAGAGGCAAAAGCCAATCAAGTCGCATATGCAAACGACCTCTGTGTTCCGAGGCAGAGGCCAATGAGGCTGCATATGCAAATAACCTCTGTGTTCTGACTGGTTATGAGGGGGGGAGGAACAGCAAAATGTTTAGAATGTTGGAGGTAGGACTCAGGCAAAGCAGCCTGTGGATAGGGAGACCCTCTGAATGACAGATCAGAGAGCGAACTGATTTTGGAGCGTGTGGAATGTTCTAGAGAAGTGCCACCACCATTCGGCTATTATTTATAAGGGAGATTGTTTCCACTTTTGAGTGCCCACTTGTGGAGAAAGGCAAGGTATAAACAAAGTAAACAAATAAATAAATGGACTTAGAAGGACTCTTCACAGGTTGGCACCGCAACAAATTGACCTGAGAAGCTCCCAGTTCAAATCCCACGGCAGCCAGGAACTCATGACTGCGCCGATTTACCCCTACAGGGCTGTCGAAGGCATCAACAAACATAAATGCTACATAACTCCGTCAGTATTACCGTCAGCAGAAAGAATCCATTACGGCAACCCGTGTGCAATTTGATCTGTGCCAAATGCTGAATTAATCATCATACATATAAATAGTCGGTTTTTCATGCAGACGTGACATACAGTGAATTATTTATGGCGAGAAATTTAAATTTGTGATCCACTTCCGGACAAACCGGGAAGGCAAATCTTGACACCGATAATTGTTTCAGGTAAGAGGGACAACCGGGTGCTTCAGAAGGGCTTTTTAAATAAACCAGAAAAACAAGATCTCTCAATCATGCACACGCGCACAAACACACAATATTATATTATTTGACAGTTTTTACTAATTCTAACTACGGTTGCGTTCAGACTGGCAGTCTGGCGCGATACGGTGCTGCCTCTAATTGAAACGGTTTAAAGTGTTGCAGGGCATATCAGCCACACAGCACACCTTGCTGCGGGTTACCCCACAGACACACCCCGTGCTCAAACATCCACATTATTGCAGTGCCTCAGCCACAGAGTGCACCGCAAAAAAATTTCAAAATTCATGTGTGTGCATAAGTGCGCATGTGCCGCATATGCGCTTATGCGCACATGCACATATGGACAATTTTTTTAAAAAACCTCCCCTAGTGGCAGAACGGATCTGCAGGTTCAGACTGCCAAATCCATTCTGCGCGCACTCCCCCGTGCTCAGACATCTGGCCATGCGCAATGAATGCGCGGGGAAACAAAAGCACCACTTTGGAGGTGGTGGCTTTTTAACCTGGCTCCAAGTCGTCCTCTGATGGGGTGAGTATGCCCGGGGAACGCCTGACAGATGTGGCTGTGTGACCAGGCCCATTTAATCCATTTGTGAAATGTGCCTATACCTGGACAAACTGCCAGTCTGAATGCAAACCTACCTGAGGTTTTTAACTCTAGCAAAAATCTACCTTGCGCCTCGTCGACGGACAAATTTAGATTAAGCGTTCTGGTTAATTTTACTTTTAGACGGACATTCTCCTCTCGAGAGCGAGGCTTATTAAACTATTGTCCGATTGGCAAGGCTCTGATTTTCAATATCTACTTCATCACACTGCTGTCATGGAAAACTGAGCTCAGGCCTAGCGAATTTCAGCCGGGCCGGCAAATATCAGAGGAAATCACAACACTAGACCATAGCGACCAATTTGGCACATTCTAGTTTTGGACTGAGCGTCAGTTTTTGTAGCCGATCAGACTGGGGGGGTACATCGGCTTGATGTCCCCCCAGCTCCGGGCATTGACCGATGCCCAATCCATCAGCTCGGGGGCTTTGGCGAGGAACACTAAGAGGAGAGTAAGCACATCCCCTTCGGCTGAGTGGGCCCCGACCGGCTCCTGCCCGTAGAAGCGCCAGAACACCTCTCCCAGCCGGTAGCTCTGGTGGGCCACCCGGTCCAGCTCCTTCAGGGCCGGCAGCGTATCCAGGCAACCGGTATCCGAGGGAAGGTCGGCGTCTACCCGCAAGAGCTCGGTCCGCAGCAGGGGGAAGTCAAAGCGCAAGCCGTTGTGAGCCACCAAGCAGATGGGGCCGGCTTGGCGGTCCAGGAACGCCCTCAGGGCCTCCACCGCGACACTGTCGAAATCCGCCTTGCCGTTCTCCTCCAGCGTCTGGTTGCTCAGCCCGGTGATCTCCTCCGCTTTGGGGGTGAACGGCTTCTGGGGGTCGATGCAGAGGGTGAGCTTGTCCAAGATGCGAGGAGGCTGCGGGGGCCGCGACGGATCCGGGACGGGGCGCTGGAGGGAGCGGCGGTTCACGGCGACGAGGCAGAGCTCGGCCATGCAGGGCTGGTCGCGGGGCAAGCCGGTGGTTTCGATGTCGAGGAAGACGAAGGTCTGGAATGCCTGGGGGGAAGCCATGGCTGACATGGGGGAAGGAAGAGGCGGTTAGAACACATTCAACATGTACCTCCCCCATCGATTGCTACTCAGGCTTCTGATTGGCCGGGCATCCTGTTAAACAGAGCTTCTGTCGACAATGCTTATTTTATTTTATTACATTTTTAAATTGCCTAATCCCCACAGGTGTGGGGCTCTAGGCGACGTACAAATTTAAAAACAATAAAGCCATACAGTCATTACCAAAATATATAATTCAGTAGTTCGGTGTAGTAGAGCCGGTTTGGTGTCGTGGTTAAGAGCGCGGACTCTAATCTGGGAGAACCGGGTTTGATTCCCCACTCCTCCACATGCAGCTGCTGGTGTGACCTTGGGTCAGTGACAAGTTCTTTCAGAGCTGTTCTCCCAAGGGCAGTCCTCGAGAGAGCTCTCTCAGCCCCACCTCCCTCACAGGGGGTCTGTGGTGGGGAGGGGAAGGGAAAGGAGATTGTCAGCCGCTCTGAGACTCCTTTGGGTAGTGAAGAGTGGGGTATAAATCCAACATCCTCTCTTCTTTCATGAGGTGAAATTTTGTGAATCCTTCTCACTATCCAGTCTGTGTTGCCTCATGGGTAATGGGGGGGGGGATTAGAGATGCTAAATCCTTCAGGGGACAGAGATCCAGGAAGGGCGCCAGCCATGATGTAAACTGCTGCTGTCCTCAACCAAACGCCTGGTGGAACGTCTCTGCCTTGCAAGCCCTGCGGAACTGCATAAGATCCTGCAGGGGCCTGATGTTATTTGGCAGAGAGTTCCACCAGGTCGAAGCCAGGGTCGAGAAGGCCCTGACCCTGGTCGAGGACAGCTGGATATCTCTAGGGGCCGGGGACCACCACCAAGTTGTTCTGTGAAGAGCAGATCACTCTCCTGGGGGTATATCGAAGAAGGCGGTCCTGTAGATACACTGGTCTACATTTATGTTAAAACATTACGATTAGTTATAGACAGGGATCATTTCCTGCGGGAGAGTACAGGAGCAGAGCTCGGGCAGTAAGGAGCCCAGGGGGTGGGCACATGGAACAAGCCCCGACCCCTGCTCCCAGCAGCCCTCAGTTGGGCCACGAGCAGCAAGAAGCAGCCAGGTAAGTCGCAGAGCCCCCTCCCCCGGCCCACCTTCAGGTACAAGCTGTCCCTCCTCTGTGAGGGCAGATCTGCGTGTTCCCCCCACCCCATAGCTAGCAATCCAAAACAGTCCAGTGACACCTTTAAGACCAAGTTTTATTCAGGTACAAGCTCTCCCTCCTCTGTGAGGGCAGATCTGCGTGTTCCCCCCACCATAGCTAGCAATCCAAAGCAGTCCAGTGGCACATTTAAGACCAAGTTTTATTCAGGTACAAGCTCTCCCTCCTCTGTGAGGGCAGATCTGCACGTCCCCCCCCCCTAATAGCTAGCCATCCAAAACAGTCCAGTGGCGCCTGAGTAGTGGGTGTTGCCTTCTGACACGCTTCCGGTGATGTCAGGGGGTGTGGCATATGCAAATAAGTTATGCTAATGAGTTATGCTAATGAGCCCCTGCACCTCTTTTTCTACAAAATGATCCCCGGTTATAGATAATCTTGCTCTCTGCCATTTTGTGGTTGGTGCGTATTCCTGCGGTGGCCACTTTGGGGTTGCGCCCACCCCCCTCTGTCAGAACTCCAAAGGTGCCTGGAGGTGCAAATAGACTGGCCACCCCTGGTCCAGGGCATTCAATCGAAAGAAGCATTAAGCAAACAGGAGTGCCTCGCAGGGGCAGACGCGGCTTTGTCCGATGCAGGCACTGCCAGTAAGGTCCTCTGCTGAAGGGACAAAACACTCCGTGCAAACAAAATATACAAAGGGTAATAAGGATTTTAATAAACTACACCCCGTGTGATTCAATATCTATAAAATTCTATTCTATGAAACACCTGATTTCTATGTCTATTACCAACTAAAGTATTGACTGCAAAGTCACTGCTCCCTCTAAGCTGTGGAGTCTTGTGAGCAAAAATCCTACTTTGGGAGCTGCTGGCATTCAAGTTGTGAGCGAGCGATTTGGCCGCTGCATAATTTAGTTTGCTCTGGAGCCATCCTTCCTTTTTTTGTTTTTCCTTTTAAATATTTTTAATTGGGTTTTCACAATAATGCATATTCACCAACAATTATTGATACAGATATAATTAATTCCTTATACTTCAAATATATTTTACGAAGCAACATAGCTACCGAACTACATAAATTTATACGTAATCACCAAAGATGAGAACTTTCAATTACACACATCCATAACAATAACTTTTAAGATTCCCTCTTTCTCCTCTCTATAAACCTTAATCTTTTTCAAATTTGTTCCCTTGGGATAAAATACTAGATAGGTTTCCATTAATTCCAGCATCCAAACAATTTTCTTATTATATTTTTTAAAGTTGTTTCATTATTTTCAATGTTTACTGTTTACCTCCTTACAGTTTAAGTCAAACTTGTCTACCATGTAGGCCTACTTATAATTACATTTTTAAATTTGCCCTCAATATACTTTCCAATTTACTTCTTCGCTATTTCCCCTTCTTACAATTCCATTAATAATTTACCACTAAATAATCACTTTGCCTTACTCACATCAAATCATTTCAAATCATTTCAGCACCCTTAAATTTATACCCATTAATCTCATTATTCCTGTACTCTAAGCACACAATACTTTCTCCAATTTACATATTTCAAGCACACAAATAAAACTGGCCAAAACCAAAAATGCATTAAGGACAATAAAAATACCAAAGTAATTTTAGTAAGCATTTTTACCATGCTCAAATCATTTCCTTCCACCCCCTTAAATTCATATCCCCTCACACTTGACATTATATTCTAATAAGTACACCTCCAAATATTCTAATCTATTCATTTCATTATAAGTCATGATTACACCTACAAACAAAAACAAATCATTCCAGCACCCTTAAATTTATACCCATTCATTATTTCCTATACTCTAAGAGCACAATACTTATTTCTCTCCAATGTACATCTTTCAAAAACACAAATAAAACTAACAAAGACCAAAAACACATTAAGGACAATACACATCAAACCAATATAACTTTTACCATGCTCAATTCATTTCATTCCACCACCCCTAAATTCATATTCTCTAACACTTAACAATATATTCTAATAAGTAAACTTCCCATTAATCTAATCTGTTCATTCCATTACAAGTCGTTATTACACCTACAAACAAAACCAAATGAATTCAAAACATATAAAAATTCCATATATTTTAATTTGCCTTCTGTAACTCTTTAACTTTTTATCCCGTAGTAACATATCTATGTGCTGTTTCTCTTTGCACAGTTGATAGATCATTTCCAATCTCTCCTCTGTTTCTTTTGAAAAATCATGTCTCCATTCCATTTTGTCCCTTTTAATTCTCAATTTACATCCTCCTTGTCTTTCTCTTCTCCATTTTTTCTTCTTTTCAGGCAGGGCTCTATACACCGTTCCCTTTCCTCTTGTCTTCTTTGTCTTCCACTGTCTCCTTTTAACTATTATTGTTTTTTTCCCTTGTCTTGAAATCTGAGAGAATAATAACTCTATGTCCTCCTTTCCTTGCTGCGGCTCAATAGTCTCTTCCGGAGTCTGAGTAAGTGGATCCAAGTTTTTCAGTTCTCTCTTTGACAATAGGGGCTTCATATAGATTTGCAAATGCTTGTCCTATCCCCTTTTGTATTCCTTCTTTTGTATTCCTTCTTTAAGACCTCTAAAACGACCATTGGACACTTACCGTGAGTGGTCCTTCTCCTCTGAGGACAGGAGGACATCTGCATGGGTTATTCCCACCGTGCCAATAGGGAGGCAGGACGTAGATTTTTCCCCCCTGTTGGTGCCTTTGGAATATCCCATATCCAGTTCTGGGACTCCGAAAGCAGTCTTGCAGCCTGAAAAACTAACCTTGCCCTATAAAAAACATAACTGCGAACAATTATAACGATTGAAACTCTATCCTGTAACTAAGATAGAGCAGAAAAAATGAACAAGAACAGTAAAAACAGGAAGAAAATATGACAGCGGGAGGGCCCAGATGTCCTCCTGTCCTCAGAGGAGAAGGACCACTCACGGTAAGTGTCCAATGGTCGTTCTCCCTCTGAGGCGGAGGACATCTGCATGGGACCTCCACGAGCAGTGTCCCTTATCTGGGTGGGTTGTCATCTTCTTCCAGGGAGATTGCGTGCTGTAGAACTCTTCTCCCGAAAGCTGCGTCTGCAGATGCCATGGTGTGTATCTTGTAATGCCTTGTAAAAGTAGAAAGTGAAGACCACGTTGCGGCCCTGCAGACTTCCTCCACCGAAGCTCTGTTTATTAGCGCTGCATTGGTCGCTGCACTCCTCAGGGAGTGTGCTGTTATGCCAGCTGGAGGATCCTGACCGATGGCTCTGTACGCTTCCACGATACAAGCTTTCAGTATCACGCTGATTGAAGATTTTGATAGCTTTTCTCCCATGCGAGGTGGGGAGATGCCAAGAAACAATGAATCGGACTTCCTCCAAGGGTCCGTCCTCGTGATGTAAATCTTCAAGGCCCTTCTAACGTCCAGTGTGTGCCAAAGACGTTCTTTAGGGTGCTTAGGTTGCGGACAGAAGGTTGGCAAACATATCTCCTGAGAACGATGGAATCTAGAATCCACCTTGGGCCGAAAAGTAGGATCAGTCAGAAGTACTACTTTGTCTTTGTGGAATGTGCAGTAGGAAGACCTCACAGATAATGCGTTCAGCTCGGAGACTCTCCTAGCTGAAGTAATGGTGACTAGAAACAGTGTTTTCATTCGCAACCATTTTAGCCCGACTTCTCGGAGAGGTTCAAATGGTGGTTTCATCAGAGCGTCCAGGACAACGTTTAGTCTCCACGTCGGAAAGCGGTGCATTTGAGGAGGAGACTTGGCTACCGCTCCTTGAAGAAACAGTTGGATGTGAGGATGTTTGGACAATCTCACCCCTTCCAAAATAGGAATCACCGTGGTGATCGC